TAAACTTTTCATGTGCTCATGAAAGATTCACCAAGACACACCATCTGCTGGGGATAAAAAAAAAAAATCAAATTAATTCAAAGATTAAAATCTTACAAACTCTCGTCTAAAAACTGCCAAAGAAATAAATTAGAAGTTAACAACAATAAAATATTTAGAAAATATCCCAAAATTTGAAAATTAAGTAATACACTTTTACATAAACCATGGTTTAAAGAAATCACCAGAGAATAGAAAAATATTTTCACTGAATTATAATGAAAATGTAGCACATTAAAATTTAGTGGATTCAGCTAAAACATTTCTTAGAAATTTATACTTTTAAATTTCTGTATTTAAAAGAAGAAAGGATTAAAACAATGACCTAAGTTTTCATTTTAAGAAGCAAGGGAAAGAAAATTAATCTAAGAGTAAATAGAAAAGGAATTAAGTAATAAAGATAAAAACAGTGAAATGAAAAACAGAAAAATAGTATATAAAATTTTGAAGAGCCAAAATATGTTTCTTTTTCAAGTGTAATAAAGTTGTCAGATTGACCTACAAAAATGTGACAGAAGGTAAAAATAATTAAGCAGGAATAAAGATTGAAATAAGCAAATTAAAACTGTCTTTATTCACAGTTTATGTAGTTGTTTCCAAAGAAACTTTAAGACAGCCACAAAAATAGTACTAGAACTAATAAGAACATTTAGAAAGTTCATTATATATCCCTTCCCTTCCCCCTCCCCTCCCCCTCCCTTCCTTTCCTATTGGCATTTTGCAAAATGTGGTCCTGAACAAGTTGCAGTGTAATATTACACTGCAACTTGTTCAGGACCACAACTTGTTGAAGACCACATTTCTATACATATAGGAAATATATATTATATATAGAGAGAGAAATACATATTAAATATATATATAATATATAGAGAGAAATTAATTATATTTCTATATACTAACTGCAAATATTTGAATAATAAAGTTAAAATATAAGCACTCATTTATAATAACATCAATAGAACGTTAAATACTTGGGGATAAATTTAACAAATGACATGCGAGACCTCTACACTGGCAACTATAACATGTTGCTAAGAGAAATGAAAGATGACCTAAATCAATGGAGAGATATACCATGTTCATAAGTTGAAAGACTCCATATTGTTAAGATTTCACTTATCCCCAAACTGAGGTGCAAACTCAATGCTATACTAACCCAAACTCCAGCAGTCTTTGCGTACAGATGTTTTGATCAATGATCAACTGCACATTTGATGGAGGCTTGATAAAATTATTAATATAATGGAGGTGAAAAATTTCTATTGCATAAATATTTATCATTACATTAGTATTTCCTTACACTATTCAATACAGTAGCATGCATTCCAGGGTCGTAGCCTAGCAGCAATAGGCTACATTATACAGCCTAAGTGTGTAGTGGGCTACACTATCTGGGTTTGTATAAGTATACTCTATGATGTTTACACAGCGACAAAAGTACTTACCAATGCATTTCTCAGAATGGATCCTAGTTGTTAAACAACACATGACTCTATATGTTAATAAGTTGTTCCTAAAATTTATATACAAATGCAAAAAATCTGGAATAGCCAAAACAATCATGTAAAGTAACAAATTTGGAGAAATTCTACTTCCTGACTTTAAAATTTATGTTAACACTATGATAATCAAAAAGTAAGGCTAAGTCTAGACAAATAGATAAATGGACCAGAATAGACAGGTCTATAATAGATTGATACATATATGGTCAAATGTTTTTCAACCAAAGAAATTAAATGGATAAGTACTTTTTTTTTTAAAGCAAATGGTGCACAAACAGGCCTTCCAGATGGAAGAAATTGTACCCAAACTCATACTCCACAATATACACTAATATTAATTTCACATTGTTTATAGAACCAAACATAAAAGTTAAAGCTACAAAAAATTTAGAAAAAAATCACTGGAGAACACCTTCACAAATTTGGGGAAAGCAAATGATAAACCACTAGCCACAAAATAAAAGAAAATGAAAATATATAATGTATCAAAAGTCAGACAATTTCTCATGAAAAGATCATATTAATGACATGAGGAGGCAAGTTGAATAGAGGCTGTGTGTGTGTGTGTGTGTGTGTGTGTGTGTGTGACATAAAGCTGACACATGATTTCTAACCAAAATATATAAAATAACTGCACTGAAAAGATAAACTAAACATGGGCAAACAATTTGAACACTTGTTAGAAAAATAAAAACATATATCCACAAAAAAAGACTTGTTAGAGAATATTAATGTTATCTTTGTTCATTATAATCTGAAACTGACAACAATCCAAGTTGGACGATCCCATAGAAAAATATATATACATAGTGTAGTATATTCAAAATATGGCATATTTCTGAACATTAAAAGGAATAAATTGTCAATATGCACCACAGAGTACATAAATTTCATGCAGTTTTGTCTAGCAAAAAGAAAAAATAAGAGTATATACTGTATGAGTCCAATCACATGAAATTCAATGGTAAGTACAACTAATCTATTATAGTGATAAAAGAAAGATCTGCCTATGGAGTTTTGGGAATGTCTACAAGGGGGCACAAGGGAACTTTCTGGGATGATGGACATACTCTATACCTTGAGTAGAGTGTTGGGTGTATGAGTATAAACATTAGGCAAAATCCATTCAATTGTGTACTAAAGATAATCAATAACAAAAAGCAAGCAAAGAGGCGATAAGAATAACAAAAGTATCTGCATGTACCCCACGTTATCAAGTACAACCCAAAACCTCAATCTCTGGTGTTATTTTCTTCCACAAATTCTATTTTTTTCAGTCTACTTCACAAGGTTACTTGTCAATGCACTGGATTTAAAACCTCAATTGAAATAATATTAATCCCTGTACCACTCCATAAACTACAGTTCTTCTCTCTTCACAGTGTCAGTCTTGCTTATATAAAATAACCATGTGTAGAAGCCAAGGGAATCTTGTTTTCTGAGATTAATCAAATTGCCAAGTGGCAGTTGGTTGTCTGTGAAGCTCAAGTCTTTATGCCAAAATTACCAATCATGTAGATCATTTCCTTTCCTCCAAGAAAAGCAAGTCAGAATGTAAAATGAAGCCAAGAATCAAAAGCTAATAGCATGACCCTCCATATATAAGGAGACATCAGGAGTCTAAACTCAAAATGGTATGGTCTGGCAGTGTTGAGTGCTCATTTAAAGTTTTTGGTTATAAATATGACACAAATCCAATCAGTATAGCTGGGTGATCTCTCTACATCAGTGCTCCTCTACTGAGACACAGGCCTAGAAGAGGTAGATATCAGTATTCAGCCCAGATTGGGAATTTTGTTGATCAAGAATATTAGAGGGAAAGGGAAGTAAGTGAGTTAAAGGTATTTCATAATGGTTCTGAATTGGATCCAACCTAACCCAGAAGAAATGCAACTGCTTGCTGGGATATGGGTGTCAGTGTACAATGAGGATACATCATTGGATTCTCAAATTTGGAAGCTTTGGAAAGGAACTAGTCATGTTGAATTTCATCTATGCTCCTTTTCAGGTCTTCCTAAAGGGAGCATGTGTTCTTGATCCTTCTTGATCATGAATTAAGCTTTGTGGGATAGTTTCTCTGGCAGTAGGAGTAAGGGGATGCCTGCAGAGGTTCAGTTCTTTCCCTGACTCAGTGAGTCTAATTTGATAGTAACAATCCCCTTGCCTAGCAGATTTAAGTTTTTCATTTGCCTGCTCTCTTTGTCTATCTGTCACATGTTTACAAAATAGGTAAAAAAGGATCTTATTTAATTATGTCAAAACCTCAACAGTGGAATGTGGAAATTAAAATAGAAAACAAAGCAAAATAAACTTCAGGGAACAACTAACTTTCAGTCAAAGAAAGGGAGAGTGAGAACCATCAAAGTCAAAATTAAGAAAGTTTGCCTTAACAGTCAGGAGAGTGGGAAGCCTTGGGAGAACAAGTAGGTGATTGCAGATAGACCCAGATTAAGAAAGGTGCAAATCAGCATTTGTGATGGTGCATGAAGTATGCATTTCTGTTGGTGACCGAGGCTAACAGGGCTATGAGGCAAGGATAAGACTGAGTTTGGAAGTCTCTGTGACCCATTGATTGTCCATCTTACATCTGGGGCCAGCTACTCTGTCTTGTGATGGAGAGGCTGGTACCTGAGCAAGTAGCAACTGAAGATTTCAGTGGGCAGATCCTAAGGGCAAGCCATTATTGAAGATTCAGGGGTTGGTCTTATACAGAGGTTGGAGTAGCTATAGCAGAATAAACAAGTAGAGATATCCTATGAGATGAGTCTGGAGACCTTGGGAAAGAATGGATTAATTGCAACCTTTCATTACTTATGTGGAAAATACATTTCTCTGGTGAACATTGGGTGTTGTATTCTAAATTCTTACATAAGGCAACCTAATTGTTACTTTAAAAAAAATGCATTGATAACTTTGAGTAAACTATTTCTTTTCTAACATTGTTGAAACAATGTTTTAACACACTCTTGTCATCAGTTTTCTGTATGTGTAAAGTAATCACACAGAGTGATACTATAGGAGTTAACTATAAATTTAAACAGATGTGATATAGATTGAAATAATAGCTTGGTCAATGCCATTCTTCTGAAAGTCTTCTATAAAAGTGAGAAATATATCCTAATAATTAAGTCTTACTTGTCCTTATAGTTGCATTAAAGAAATGTGTTGAGTCACTTAATTATTTATCATAGCTCCCATTAGGAAAATATTTCACTTATTCATTCATCTCACAAACTTTTACTGAGAATTGTCAAGCATTGTGCTAAGTATTCACCTAATCTGAAGCTAACACAGTCTAGCAAAGTTTTGTGACACAATAAAGTCATATTATGTTAAAAAAATTCTGGATAGTAAAAGTTCAAATCAATATAAGGCATTACTGTTTAGCTATAATAACAGGGAATATGTGCTGTGATACTTATACTCAGTTTGTTTATTTCTCTTTATGGCTTCCAGGATCCTGTTAATCCTTACGTGGTCAACGCAGAAATAGTCAACACATTGTTTCCTAATGAATCAACATATTCAAGAAACTGTACTGTAATAATGGACAGAATTCATTCTCTTAAGGAATGTTGAAGTCACTTGTCAAATGAGGGATTGTGGGGGATGAAATACATTGTAATCAAGTGAATTACATGTGCTAACAATTGTCTTAGATAATTTAACATAATTATGTCATATAATTCTCCCAATAATTTCAGATTCTTTATTCCTATTTTCATAGGAAACTGAGATTCAGGCACAGTGAGGGCTGTCCAATTTCATTTAGCTACTGCAAAACCTTCCCTACCTAATGTAAGGGACCATGTACTTTTCATTTTATCACACTCAGAATCTAGGATAATTCATACAAAAATGATTCAGCATCTTAATGTGTATTTTGCCTTAAAGTTTATGAAGTGTTATCATATGCATCATCTCATGTGATGTTTATAATTACTCTTGTTCTTGGCATTCAATTGATAAAATGTTTTGAAAAGAATCATGAATTAGAATCTTTTTGATGTCTTTTCAATAAGAATTAATGTAATGTAACTAGGTGTATTTCAGAGACAGAAAAATGAAACAAAGATCAAAGAGCTTAGTTAAGGAAATGCTATTGTGTTACACTTCTCAAGATATTTCAGTGAGATATTGTGGACCACCTGGTTATTTTGCAGAACTAAACCCAAAGAGACATTACTCAAGTATTTTTATAATTAGTATCATTTCTCTCCTACTTCCAGCTCAGTTAATGACAGTATTTATAGGGAATTTTGGCTATAACAGAGAGACATGTATGTGGATGATCATGAAAATTATGGTGAGCAGTCATTCATTATTTGATTTCCTAACGTGTGGACTGAGTCACTCTAGGAGTAAAATACTCTACTTCTAAATATTATGTCACCATTTTACTATATTAGCATTAAAAACAAGAACTTTTTTATTTTGAAATAATTTTAAACTCTGCATTGAAGTGCCAAACAGTAGTGTTCTATGTACCCTTCACCTCTAGCATTCCCCAATGATAGTATCTTGTATAACTATAATACAATGATCAAAATTTTCAAATTTGATAATACTATTAACTAAACTACATATTATATTCAATTTTACCTGTTTAACTTCTTATTTATATCAACTTATTCTTCCAATCATTTATTAATTGGTACTTTCTTTGGAGTCATTTTAACTTATACTTCTGCTGAGTTATCCAGAGGGGTCAATCTTTATATTTATAGTCACAAATTAGGAGTGAAATAAAAGTCTTATTTCTTGGGAATAAAGGAAAATTGTAGGAGTTACCCTAATGGCGAAAAAAGACATTTTATCTTTGTTTGTGTGTGTGTGAACAAAGGTGATACAGAAATTCCCTTCTTTAGATTGGTTTCTGCTATTCAAAAAGATAAAAATAAACCCACAATCTAACTGGGTACAGTGGTATGTGCCTATAGTTCCAACTACTTGGGAGGCTGAGGCAAGAAGATCACTTGAGCCCTCGAGTTAGAATCCCAGCCTAGGCAATATAGTTGTTTTATTGGAAGTTTTATAATTTATAGTTGTAGAACAGGACAAATATCATTGTGATTTAAATTCCAGAATTAACTTTAAAATCACCTGTTTGATCATGAGTTGCTTTCAGAACTCCCTTTCCTATATTTCAAACTTATATTTGATTTTTTATCATTCCTTTGTTGTATGTTTCAATACTGTAAACACTTTACTTTGTAAAATTTTAAGCATATTATTAAGTAAATATTCTTACTGAAGCCATTCAGTTCACATCAATATAACTAATAAAATGCAGCAATTTCTGTATATTAAAACATTTCTTGAGTTCTGGTAAATAGCCAAACAATGATTTAGTTATGGAAAAATAAGGTCCATAAAATCCATATTTTGGCATCATAAGCTTAGGACCAGTAATAATAATTTGCAGTAGAAAAATATTTACATAAATTTGAAGTGCTAAGGTTAGATCTCTATGACTCAGTCATATATCAAAAAGCTGAACTGCTTTTCAATTTTATTTGTTCTATACTACTTTAAATTTTATCTCAACTTTGGAAAGGCTACTTGCATTTTGAAACTAGATAAGAATACTCTTACAAAGTACACACTACATAGTAGTAATTATTCTAAATATGTTACATATACCGTGTAACTAAATCATTTTAAAATTCTCTAAAGTAGGTATCATTCTCTCTTCCTTTTTCAGATGAGTAACTTAAGGTTGACAGAGATGAAGAGAACTTTCCCATATTGCTTTGGATGAATCTGTGATATCTTTCAACTCTAAGATTTTGAAATTTTACTGAAAGGATTTTAACTACTCTGAAGAAAGAAAGACAGGAAACATACTGAATGGCACTATACAATTTTCCTATTATAATAGAAACAGAGCAGCAATTACATTTGCTAATTTACTCACAAGAATTTGGAATTAGCTCTGTTCTCTCTTTTTGGGAATGTGATTTCTAATAAAGTAGTCTTCATAATAAAATCTTCTAAAATAGAGGAAATAGGGATCTTCCTTCTTAAACTGTTTCTCATAAATAATAATTCAATAGCAGAATTAGGAACATACAGTAGAAAGAGTAAATTCAGAATCCAACCCCAAATGGCAGACCTAGCTTTCATCCCAGCTCTGTTATTTTCTTTAATCACTTATCACTAAGTTTCAGTTTCCTCCTTTATAAAATATAAAATATATATAATGATTCCAACTTCATAGGGCTGTTTTGAGGACTAAAATGAGATAAATGTAAAAAAAAATCTGAGATATAGTGAAAGATACTTTTCATAATCATAATTACTTTTTAAAAGAATTTTTATTATAATGAAAACACACCAGTGTTGGATTAAAAAGACTTTTCAAAATTCATATAATTATAGAGAAAGCAGTTGTTCAAAGTAACATGAAAAATGAATAAAACTTGTTCACCTGAGCTTCAATTTATAATTTCTATCCTTAGACTTCAAAATTGTGATATTTCTACTTTCTTTTAAAGAAGCTTTACTGTATTTTTTCCCACTTTCTCAACACGACTGAGAGTTCTCTTTTGTCCTAGAACATACATATTTGTATCATCTTAGTGGATTAAAATTTGCATTTCATTACCATGGAAAGTAAATATGTTTTGAGTTCAATTTTAAATCCAAAAACTTAAAGAAATGGAGGGCATTTTATGTTTTGTAATATATTCTCCTAACATTCTTCCCTCTTATGACTGACTCTGTGTTCTTTTTGAATCTTAAATATTTTTACCAGATTGGTGGTTTATTCTTTACATAAATATCATGGAGGGTGCTACATTTTAAGAAAATTATGTGTTGCTTTTGGAAGGCAACTCTATATAAGAAAAACGGAGGCAGTCTTGTGCAAAGGAATACTTCAATTTTTTGTTGGTGTTCTCCAACCAAAAGAATTGATTTTCTGATTTTTTAAAAAAATAAGGGTGAGATGTCATCTAGTACACTGTATAACTCAGCCTAAAGAAAATTTAATTTACCTCTAAGTAGGATGGAAAATGAAAACACTGCCTTCTATACCCTCCCACATAATATTTAATGTTCAAATAATGGTTTCAGAGCAGTATTTCAAACCTGGATTTTAGGCAATGAGAACTATGTCAGAGTTCTGTCAATGACTTTAGGATTTTGAGAAAAAAAATATTTGAAAGTTGGCTGCATAATATTTCCTGTTTTACTTTTTGCTCACTCATATAAAGAACTTCCTTAATGTGTCCTTTTCTAGTTCATTGGAATCTTGTAATTTCTTTCTTGGGTCTAATTTATTCTCTTTTCATTTTTTCAGTCATTACCATGGTGTGAATGCATGCAAAGGCATAGCTCTAGAATCAAATCTTTGTGACTCTTTAGCCAGTCTTTTTGTTTCTATGTTAGACAATAAGAGATGGTAGTAAATAAATATTTTGACTATAATTGGTTGCAGTGAGAGAACTGGAGGTAAAAACGCATTTATCTTAGAAACAGTATTTCTAAGGCACTATTTTTTTGTAGACTAATTGCTTAACCAGGAAGCTGCATGTAAAAATTTTATAAAGACAATGCAACTTCTGAAGAAGCTACAATTGGGAAAAACACTGGATCATAAGTTTAAAGAAACAAGTTTTATTTCTAGTTCTACTACTTGTGACCTTGGCCAAATTACTTAAATATTCTGATCTGTATTATGTCATACATCTAAGGATTTACAGAACTTTAAAAATGTTTACAAGGCTAAAATTTACAATATTCTATTTTAATCTCATTAATATATATTTATATGCTATGGTGTTTTACATATGAAAGGAAAGAGAGAAGGGAAACTGAATGTCAACTTTTACTATATAATGGTGACTTAATTTATCCTCACTGATAATATTTAGAGAAGAGCTTCTTACAAGCTGTTAAGGGCAAAAAGCTAGTAAATTGAAAGACTGCCATTCAAAATCAGGAATTGGTATCCAAACCCATTCTCCTTTGGCTATGCCATTAGTTCTGAAACCACCTTACATTAAAATAATGTAAGGCAATAAGATGAGAATTGTGATAAAAGTCTACTTTCTACAGAAGTATAGACATAGCTAAAAGTTAACCAGCCATCGTTTCCTAACTTGCCTACTGTTGTAACTGCTTATTGCTTAAGCATCACACATCCTTGACATGGGCAAGGTTTGTGACTTTCTCTGTTGCTTCCATAGATAATGTTGCTATTATAAAACCTAAGACTAGTTTTGGAGATATCATCCAGACATTGTATTTGAGGGAACCAACTGACATCAACTGGCCCAGTGGCCATGCATGAACTCATCCCATAGTTCCTGAGACCCTCTACCCAGGAACTGTCTCAGCCAAGAAAACAATTTCTGCTTCCCAACCCTGTAAGTTCATTTCAAGACAGCAGATCCAATTCCTTAGACCTTTGTTCACCAAACCACCTTTAAAAATCTTAGCCCCAAAATTCTCAAGAAGGTAAATTTCAAAAATTTCTCCCATCTCTTCACTCTGCACATTGCAATATTAAATTCTTTTTCTGCTGCAACTCCTGCTGTCTCAGTATACTGAAAGTGGGCAAGGGACCTGGCTAGGTGGTAACAGTTCCTATCAAAAGTAAGGGATTATGCTTATTTTCCAGTTGAAACTCAAATATACTTCAATGCATTTGTCTGTGTTAAATGGGTATGTTTGGGTAGTCAGGAGTTAAAAGTCTTTAGCTTCTATTTACATGTCCCATTTATTAAAGATTAAGAAAGTATATGCTTATTAATTAATAAATTTAAATTGTATTATGGATTTAAACTAGGTTAGTAATAAAAATTTTATTACACATTCCACTAGATTAATAACTTTACATTTTAAGACAGTTTAATAATAGAAATTCTCTAAGTGTCTTGTTATACCACAGTTAGATAGTAACATTCTCTGGTATTATTTGATATCAAATTCCTTTGCATTAAGATAATAGGACAGTTCAATAACTACTTTATGATACTACAAGCTTTTTCAAATTTTGATAAATTATTTAGTTGATTAGAGTCCAAGAAAGTAGATATAAATTAAGTGCAGCTTCTGAGAAAAATACTATTATGTTTTATTTGTTTGGAGAAAAAGTAAATTCATTATAACTCTAGATATGAGATTATGACATTAAGGGAGGGAACATTCCTTCAGGAATGTTTCTGATTAAAGTCACTATTTGCATTGTGCTATCCCTTGTCTCTGTACTCAGAACCTTGTTGGGAAATTCTTTTTTACTATGCCTCATGTCCTGAAGCACTTAACATTCCTAACCTGTTTTTTTGCCTTCATTTCCTGTGCTGGGCATGCCAGTGAATCTGACCTTTGATCTATAAAGAATGCACTTCAAGATAGATGAAACAGGGAGAATTATGGCACTCTGTCACCTTTCATACATTGAAAAAACATTTTGAGTAAGCATGCAATTGAACAAAATAGGTAGTTAGGTTCATAGCACATCTCATCAACATGTTTCTTAGGGGATAAATTTATACATTAGGTTACAGTCAATGCCTTATATATTCTTTATATCACTACAAAGAAGCATTAATTATTATTTAAACAGCAAGAAAAACCAAGTAACTATGATTCTATGTAC